AGGAGGGATGGGGGGGTGCTGACCGGCGGGGCCCGTGGAGCAGGCTCTGTGCTCTCCTGGCTCTCTGTCCACCCCCAGATCTTTCCCACCCAAAGGGCCCAGGGCCCCCATGGCACTAGGGCCCAGAGCTAGGAAGCCAGGAGTTAAGGGCCTGGAAACCACCGGTCCCACACAGAGCAGGTGACTGAGACCCCATCCTGCTGGCATCCCGTAAGCACCCCTCCCTGGGGGATCCTCTCCTGGGCCCTGGGGGCCCCCAGCGGCTGAGACAGGGATGCTGGTGAGGAGTTCAGGGGAGAGCCCCGGGGGGGTCTGAGAGGCGGAGAGGACGGTGCCTGCCGCCCGCTGCAGGGGGGGCCTCTCTGAGCTTCCGAGTCCCTGCTACAGGCAGGCGGTGCAGGTCAGCAGGTGACTATGTCACTGAACCCACATTAGTATTTACTTGTGTATCTGTCCGTCCATCAAGCTTGTGGCTGGAACTCAGAAAGGACCCACTCGTACTTTCTCCAGTCAGACATCTGACTCCTGTTTACGAGCGGGTCCCTCGTCGCCCGGTCACTTCTTTTGGGGCCTAAAGGAGCACTTAAGGACGCGATGTGACAGAGCTCAGGCGGGATGAGCAGATGTCTTCACAGTCACGCCTGTGGGGATGGGATTCTGAAAGGCCCCCCCTTTCCCTGCGTGGGTCTGCAGCCCGACTGCTCTGCAGTGACGCCATGCTCCCGTCCACCCTGAGCCCGCGGGGGCCCAGCGCGCCCTGGGGATGGCACCGATAAAACGTGCGGGCGCTTTTCTGCATAGAAATGTAGACTAGGAAGCCAGGCATTTGCTGATTGTGTTTCTCTTTTTATTATCAGGAAAAAAATTATGAAGGAAGAAGTCTATTCAAACACTCCCACTGAAGATTATTTCGCACAGTTTAATACAAGAAGTCGATAATGAAAGACACTTCCTTCCCCCTGAATCATTCATGCATAAAACACGGTGACCTTGAAGGGTCACATTTATTAAAAGAATGCACCTGCCCTGGCCGGGTGGCTTGGTTTGTTGGAACGTCGCCCTGTACACCAAAAGGTGGTGGGTTGGAGTTCCGGTCAGGGCGCATACCTGGGTTGCGAATTCGATCCTGGTCGGGGTGCATAGGGGAGGCCACCAATCGATGTGTCTCCCTCCCTCCCTTCCCCTAAAAATCAGTGGGAAGAATACCCTCGGGGGAGGGTTAACAAACACCCACCAGTTGGTCCAGAAGTACCTTCACTTTCCCACCGTGGACGAGACATTCAACCTCTCCTGTGTATTCCTATGAGGAGCACTGGTTTCTGTTCAGCGTGGCTCAGAGTGTGTCTCTGGAGCAGCTGTGGGTGCTGTGGATGTGGGGGTGGCCAGACGGCCCTGCCGAGGTCCATTCCAGAGAGAGGCCGCGGGCTGGGCCTGTGTATTGGACTCCAGGCTCGGCTGCCGCAAAGCTGACACAAGCCTGAACTGTGTGCAGGGCACTGTTCTCTACGCTTCAGGTGGGATGAACTAATTCCAGCCTCCTGCAGCCCGCGGTGGGTATTTTTATCACGTGTTCCAGGGGCACCTGGTCGCATTGCCTCCCGGGTAATCCAGGTGCCTGGGCCGCACAAGCCACCTCAGGGGAGCGCAGGTGATGGACAGTGACAGCCCACACAGACTGTCCCGCGTTGGGCAGGGAGACAAGGTGGGAGATGGGAGGTGACGTCGGTTCACCCAGGGCACAGTGAGTGCCCCTCAAGACCTGCCTGCTTTGCTAGCAGCCCCCGCCGTCTCGCGGGAGACACATATAAGCTGATGCAGAAGCAGAGGGGCGGGAGGTGGAATCATACCTGGAGCCCACAGGCGCAGGTGAGAGGGGAGACAGAGCCCAGAGGCCGCTGCGGTCGTCAGTGATGCACCTACATGCCTGGAGTGGCAGGGCCAGCACAGAGAGGCTGGCTTTCACTCGGTCTGCTTGGTTATAAAAGGAGGTTCCCAAAGACAAGCCAGGCTCCAAAACTTGGGACACTGGCTGTAAGTGTGCTCTCTGCTGGCAGCCAGCAGCACAACACGTTCCCCATGGTTCTCGGGCAGGGAAAGGAACCCCGAGGCTAAAACCACCATCCCCAGGCCCGGTGCTGGGCAGGTTCTAGGAACTTCCCTGCTGGAAGGCAGAGCCGGCGTCCAGGTGTGGAGCCCTGTCCTTTTCTCTGAACAGCCCGCTGGGGTTTCACACAGACACACACAACCAGAGGGCTTTGTCCTGTTTCACTTTTACAACTTATTACAAAAAATTTCAAACATACAGAAAAGCTGAAAGAGTTGTAAAGTCTACATCCAAATGCCCATTACCTAGCTCCTACGATTCACCTTCGCCTCATTACCTGTCTCTGCCCAGAATGGCTTTTAAAAATTCCAGATATATGCTGCTTACAAGAGAGACACCTAGAACCAAGCGGCACAGGAAATGTGGTTGCTACGTGCCCTCGTTTCGCAGAGGAGGCTGAAGCGGAGAGAAGTCACCGGCTTGCGGAAGGTCGCACAGCTGGTTTCCGAGCAGATAACCTGAGCCCAAAACCCTGCTGGTCCCCGTCACCACCGCCCTCCCCCCGAGCCAGCCTCGTCGCAGGAATCAGAAACCTCATCAGAAACCGTACCCGACCCAGACGTGCGCACACTGCAGTTCCGCATACGTGAAATTTTAGAATTAGCCAAACTACGCTGCCAGTGTCTGCTGGGACGGGGCGGTGGGTGCTGACTGCCAAGGAGCGTGAGGTCACTCCTACGGACTCATAGGAATGCACAGAAAAAACAAAGGTGCTCCCGCCCCATCCCTGTGCCGGCAGCAAAGGGAGGGCCCTAACCCACCGGCAACCAGAGGCGCGCAGCGGTCACCGCCTGCCGGTGCCCCTGTCCACCAGCAGGTGGCATCTCGGCCTCGCGTGGGCCACCTCTGCAGGCTCCCGGGTCCTGGCCGCACTGTTGGCACGTGTGCCTCCGGTCTCGCTGGGCGGATAGAGGAGGCCCGTAGCCCACTGTGACAGCCGCCCCAGGGTGCTCAGGCAGTGAGGTGGCTGGGCCCACGCTTCTCTCGTGGTCACGGGTGGGAACGTGGTGGGGGTGGGAGAGTGGAGTGGAGCCTCCACAGTACATTTTTCAAAGGAGGCAATGTCTTGACTGTCTACTGTGTCCGATGATGAAAGACAATGGTGGAAAGAAGCTGGGGGAAGCCAAGCAAGAGCAAGACCGTGAGAAGCTGCCAGGTGGGGACTTTCTCTGCGCTTAACCCCCCACCACCACCCAGCAAAGGCCTGGGCGGCACCCCACACCCTTGTCCAACCGGCCCCAAGTTCATGCCGCTCCATCTTGGAACTTAGCCACCCCTCTGCCCAGAGCTGGCAAAGTCGGCTTCACCTGCCCTGTGTCTGGTGGGTCTGCCGTCCTGGTCTGTTCCCAAATGAAGGCCAACCCCAGCACTGCTCACCCCCCCAGATGGAGGCAGGGACGGGCACGTGGGCAGATGGAAGGCCTGTGACTCAGTGGGTCTCTCTGTTTTTTTAAACTGTTTTTATTGATTTTAAGGAGAGGAAAGGAGAGGGAGATGCACTGATGTGAGAGACACATGGATTGGTTGCCTCCCGCACACACCCCAGCTGGGGCCCAGGATCGAAGCTGAAAGCCAGGTGCATGCCCTTGACTGGGAATCGAAACCTCGGCCCCTCGGTGTGAGGGCTGATGCTCTAACCACTGAGCAACACCGTCCGGGGAAAAGCGCAGAACTCACCTTCCCGAGGCACCGGAGCCAGTTAAAGGCGGAGCCGGGCGTGGACTCCCAGGCCCCGCAGACTGACCTCCCCACGGTGCCCGGAAGTAGTGTCTGGAGGCCTCAGTGGCGGAGATGGTCGCGGCTCTCAGTGCGGCTCTCAGTGCGGCCTTCTGGATTCCAGCTCAGCATCAAGCCTCCTCGATGGCCCCGCTTGGATGTGGACCGTCGGTCAGAATCAACGTGTCCGCACAGAGCTCCGGGTGTCCTTCTGTCCCTGTTCCCCCAAAGTCGCCTCCATCTCTGTCAACCGCAGTCCCACTCTTCCAACCGCTCAGGTCAGAAAGCTGAGATTCACCCCTGGGTTTTCTCGCTCTCTCACGTCCTACATCCAATCCTTGGGCAGATCCTGTTGGCTGGGCATCAACAGACACGAAACGAACACTGTTTTCCACCTTCACGGTGGCTACTCCCTTGTCCAGCCATTATTGCCCGCCTGGGCTATTGCATTAGCTGCCTCACCGGGGCCCCCGCTTCTCCCCCTGTCCACACACATTCTTTCTCAGCACAGTGCCACGAGGCGGAGTTAAAGTGCAAGCCAGGCAGCCTGTCCTTTCGCTCAAACCCTCCCGAGGCTCCCCTCAGAGTAAAGCCAGTTGCCTTTAAGGCTCATGGGACCTGGTCCCCTGCTGTCTGATCTCCTCTCCTCCTGCTCACTCTGCTCCAATCACAATCCCTTCCCTGCACGGCAAGCACATTCCTGCCTCAGGGCCTTTGCACTTGCTGCTCCCTCAGCTTAAAATGCTCTTTCATTAGATAACCATGTGATTGACTCTATCACTTCCTTAGGGACTCGGCTCCAAAGTTACCATCTCAGTGAGGCTCTTCCCTGTGGAGGGGAGGCCTCCGCCCTCCACAGCACTCTCCCTTCCCAGCTTTCTTTTCTTCTATCCCCTGATGTGTGTATTTATCACTGGTCCTCTCCGGCCACTAGAGTATATTCTAAACTCTATTCCCAGAACCTTGAACAGTGCATGACAAATGTTTGTTGCACTGGATGAATGAACTGTGGGGCTTGAGTTTCATAGCCTGAGCTAGTCCACCTGGGTTCAGACAAACTCAGGGCATTCAGCCAGGGGGCTGAATCCCCCAGGGACTGAGGAGATGCCAGGGGAAAACTCACCCTAGGGCGAATGTCAGCCCAGGCCTCCCCGACCTTTGCTCAGACCCACTAGGCCGGCCAGCCCAGGAGAAGACAGAATTGGATCCCTTTCAATTCCTTCCTGTGGCCACGTGCACATGAGCAGCGTGGGGGGGTGGGGGGGTGAAAGAAGGCACCGGTGTTGGGACCTGGGCTTCCTTCACGTGGAATTAGCTGCACGTGGTCCAGTCCCTTTGCCTCCTCTCCAGGGCTGCCTGAGCCATGCCTGGTGCAGCCATGGTTATCGCCAAGGCCTGGGAGGGTCCTGGAGGGTCCCAGGGGTGAGACTGTTGGGGACCCTTTGTCTGTCGGGGCCTGTGTGGTCCTCATGGTGGGAGCCAGGGGCTGCAGAGGGAAGAGAGGGGTCCGGGGCCCCTCAGACTCAGGCTCAGCCTCTAACCCTTTATCCCAGTCCCGTAATTTCAGACGGGACTTTATGTCTCTGAGGCTGTTTTCCCAGCTGTAAAATGGGATCATGACACTGACCTGTCTCTCAGGATTACCGAAAGGAGTAAGTAGATGGGTATATGTGAGGGCCCATCCCCGCCCACCCCTGGCTCACCCTGGGCTCGCAGAAGGACTCGGGGACGTGGCCACATTCCCCAGACCCGGCTCCCCGCCCTGCCTCTCACCAGCTGTGAGCCCTTGGAAAAATGACCCATGTTTCCCGAGGCCCCGTTCCCACATCTATAAAATGGGGGTAGTAAGTACATTATCATTCCAGAGTTACGAGAATTAAATGAGATAATTTGTTAAAGTGCTTGGCATATAAGACGATCTTCAGAAGGTTAGCTATTAATGTGTAAAAACACATATTTGGGGCTGCCCAGGACTCCTGAGCGGAGGACGTGATACCAGGGATGTGATGTCATCTGAAAGGGCTCCAAGCCACCAGCATCAAACCTGACCGAGGCAAGGATCGCGCTCCGTTGAAGTTCAAAACATTGGTTCTGTATCAGTGTTTTCCCATTTCTGTCTCACAGAGGCCACCTCGGCCTG